TATACATATTTTTTTTTTGCCTTTGCTACAAGCTAATATAAAAAGTTTTTCATATTTTATTTGATTTCACTTGTTTATTTTCATGTTTATTTTATTTAAAGTAGAGAAAATGTTTTTTATGGTTTTAATTTAGTTTCAGTTTTAGTTAACTATAATAATCCTGGAACAAAGTAAGCTAGAGGAAATAAAAAATAATGTAAATAAAAATAATTGGTCATCAAATAAACAAATAATTCTAAATATATTCCTACACCGAATCAGTGAGACGTGTCAGCAGCATTTGACTACACTTTATTTTAAGGAGTCCTTGTTACAGTGTAATTATACATTTAAGTTTGGAGTAATATAAATTAACTACACATACTTACTATAGCTTTTTGGATTAAGGCTTGGTTTACCATTTACTATTACTAATTACTGGTTTCCTAATTTACTATTACTACTATAGTAAGCATATTTAACATGCGTAACAAGGACACAAAGAAAAACAATGTGTTACCCAGCATTCTTCACAGGATTACTTGTACTTGCAATGGCAGGACTGTACCCAAAAATAGTACTACACACTTTTAAACTTGCTGCGGAGTGCTGATGCATCCATACCATTATTCTCTAGGACCTCTGGAAGAGATTCGGCTGCTAGTGAGGTCTCCGGGACGGGCACAGGCACTGCTTCAGGGGCTGGTGTGGACGCTGGCTCTGCGATGGGTGCAGGCGCTGGTTCAGGGGTTGGTACAGAAACTGGTTCTGGGGTGGGTTCAGATGCTGGTTCAGGGATGGGCACCTCGGGGACAGGTTCAGGTACTGGTTCTGGTTCTGGGACAGACTCCTTCACTGGTTCAGGCACTGGCTCTTCCACTGGTGCGGCCACTGGTTCTGGTGACGAGGCGGGTACTTGCTCAGGCTCTGGCTCGGGTTCTTCCACAGGTGCAGATGCTGTGACATCTTTGTGTACAGGCTCAGGCTCCGGAGCTGCCTGTAGAGACAACGAAGGTGGAGACAAAAGAATAACAGTCATTTAAGCTAATTTAAATGCAGCTGATAATGCTGTAAATCTAAGATGTGTTGAATACAGGTTAATAGGGACATTGAGGTGGCCCGGGGGGGGGGGGGGGAACACAGGACAAAACAAATACCACAACACAACACAAAACAAAACCTAAAACAAAACAAATCAAAATCCAGAACAAACCAAGGGCTAGAACAAACCCCAAAACCCAGAACAAAACAAACCCCAAAACAAAACAAATAAAAACTCAGAACAAACCCAGGCCCAAAACAAAAGCCCAAACCCTTAACAAAACCCGAAACAAATCCCAGGACAAAACAAAACCCAGAACAATCCAAGGCCCAGAATAAAAAACAAAACAAAACCTTGAACAAAACTCAAAATCCAGAACAAACCCAGGCCCAAAACAAAAGCCCAAACCCTGGTTGTTGGTATGAATCCGTAGAGTGTGGAGTGCATGAGAGTTTTCCTAATTTCTAGTGGTGTCGTACCACAGTGATTAATTCAACCCGAACCACATTAGTAACTACAGTACAGTGACTTTAATGAAAGCTAGGGTTGCAAAATGAGGAAAATTTCTGGATTTTCTGGAAATTTTCCACCTCTTTGCAACCCTCATGACAACACATTGGTCCCCCCACCTAATGAAGCAGTAGTTCACTCACAAGCTACGCAAAACCGCGTTCATAATCGCAGATCGATTTAATCGAGCGAGTATAAAATTGATGAAATTGTTCTGCGATTATGAAAGCAGTTTGCGTAGCTTGTTAATGAACTACATCTCTGTGTAGTAAATGCTGGTCCATCTGAGCCCGCTTCTGTATATCATCAAGCCTTTACCCAGTGAGTTTGAGGTGTTTATAACGTGTATTTGAAAAAGCAACTTGCGTCAAACGTTCAAATCTTCTGTTTCCTGGAACGATGTCCATTACCTTACTTCAGATGGAGACTTACTACCGATCACAGACCTGTGCTTCATTGAAAGATATGCATGACAAATCGCAGCTTTTGCCTACTCGTGATTGCGATTTCATTTTGATTAATCGTGCAGCCCTACTTTACATCACTCTACCCGATGCTTGGCATTACACTTGGTAATGTGAGCAGCTGCTCAGCCATAGAAACCCATTCCATGACGCTCTTGATGCACAGTTTTGCGCTGATATCAATGCCAGTGGAAGTTTGTAACTCTTCAGCTATGGACTTTACATCATTGGTCTCAAACTTAATTCCTGGAGGGCCACAGCTCTGTACAATTTAGCTTCAACCAGCTCCAAATCACACCCGCTTGGAAGTTTATAGAGATCCTAAAGACCTTGATTAGCTGGATCAGGTGTGTTTTATTAGGGTTGGAGCAAACCTGTGCAGAGCTGTGGCCCTCCAGGAATTGAGTTTGAGACCATTGCTTTACATGGTCTTTTGTTTTGGACTGAGTTGCTGCTGTTCTGAAACACTTTCACTTTCCAATACCACTTACGGTTGACACACACTATTGACAATACTTTTCTCAATATAGTGTATATTACAAAAATGTTTCACTTTTGCCTTTTTTTTTTCTTTTACAGATGGCGGGAAACTATTATGTTGTAATTTAGAGCATAAATTCTGACACTATAGATAACAGAATTCGATTTCACAATTGTGCCATTTTATAACACATTTAAAGCTAGAGCTATCTATTTGACTACATGAAATCAACACTTCAATGTTTCTTAATCCAAAAAAAAGTCACCTAATGTCTTGCAGCTCTCTGTCCCCAGACATAAACACATCAAAGGCGGTGAGGGAATTAGGGCAGCTTGAGACGGATTCTTCCTTGCGGTGATGACTGCCAACAGTCCATTAGCCCCTGATGCTCTTAGAAAGCATGAACAACCTGTGAGGATGTTAGGCGGTACACAATGCCATCTCAGGCTTATCTGTCATCTCAGATCCTCTCTCAGTGGATGATGGGAAATCTATATTTGATGCCACCACATATGGGGGTCAGGGTGAGAATCCATGTGACGCAAAATTTGACATATCACCCAAGACAAACAGAACCCAAGAGGACTTACAGAGGCTTTATGCATTTTACTTGTCCCTAGAGTCACATATACAGATGCATCTCAATAAATTAGAATGTTGTGGAAAAGTTCATAAACTGTTAAAGTAAACTGTCAAAAATATATTAAATACATAGTTCTGACAGACACAGCAACATAAATTGTGCCTTGTTTGATTGATGTGCAGGACACTTTTCAAAAGTATTTTTTCCCCTGTAAATATCAGTTATTCATGTAAAGACCTTATTTACAGGTTCCTCACTTCCTTATTTCCATATTTCCACCAAAGAAATAATAAAGATGTAGGCCTATTATAATAATTTTGAATGGTTTAACATCTTATTTGAGGCAGTGGGCCAAAGCATCTCGACTGGAATAAGCTCTCATTGTTTCACTCATTTACGGAAAGCGGTTACACTGAATTAATTCACCACATACCCTTCAGCTCTGCCTTGAATTCTTACAAAAAGGCCATTGTGTCATAAGGCCAAAGTCGTCATGCACAGTCAGTGTCTGCCTACTAGCATAACTATACTGCACTGCACCATTGTTTAGTTAAGAGACATCACCACTTGTGACTGAAAGGGCTTGTGACTGTAGATGCGTTTCTAAACCTTAATGACTACTGCCTTCGAAAGGCTGTGACACCAAACCAACATCAAAGAACTAGCGGCGACAAAAGCCGACTGTGTTGTCACCTCGCATTGCCTGCGTCTGGGCCAAAAAGTTGTGTTTGAACACACCGCAAAGACTACAGCCAACCAACACATCCATTCTGTAGAGCCCTGCACGGGCCTCAAATTTAGGCCCTAGCCCGGCCCCGGCCCGAGACGCTCAGGCCCTAGCCCGGCCCGTGTCCGACAGCTTATCAGAATTACCGACCCGAGCGCGTCTTTTTTCCCCCCTTCTCCCAAAACAGCTTATAATATTGTTTCAGCTATTAAAGTAGTATGTAATAGCAAAGTGATTATATTTTGTTTCGTTTTTTTATGAAGTTAACTTAAAAAAACGTTTGGAGCATTTTTTGTTCGTTAAATAATTTTTTTTTTTTTTAAGTAACGACCAAGTGGCCAGCGGCAGACAGTGAGCCCATGTTGGATCAATTTAGCCCAGTGATGGGCAAACTTCGCCCTTTCAGGCCACTTTCCTGCAGAGATTTGATCCAACCCTGATAAAACTCACCTGCCTGTAGCCTTCTAGTAGTCTTGAAAACAATGATTAGCTGGTTCAGGTGTGTTTGATTAGGGTTGGAGCTAAACTCTGAAGGAAAGTGGCCTGAAAGGGCCAAGTTTGCCCACCCCTGATTCATTCTTCTCAAATCATCAGGACTGGCCTCAAAAAAAATCTATAGATATAAAACGGTTCAAGCATATAACAATGTTTAAACGTTAAACCTAGATAAATGTGCGCTATAGCCAATAGCTTGTGCGGAGAGTGGGAGCTAAGCGCGATCACTTGCATTTTTTTCAGTGGATACGCCGTCATTTTTACTCATAAAGGTAAGTGTAATACATCATTCGTAGCTGTAAAGGGTCTACTTTTATGTGTGTGCACTCACAATATCAACAAAACGTTGTGCTTTTATAAAATAAAGAAAACAAACATGCGCTTTCTGCCGTCTCGTCTTGAACAGGAGTGCTTCACAAAAATGAACCAAAACTCAGCGAATACATGTCTCACAGACATGATAAATGTATCTATAGAAAGCTTTAAATTACTACTCAACTAAATAAAACAAAAACTTTCATTATAATTAGGGCTGCACGATAAAATCGCATGCGATATTTAGCGCATCTTGTCAGAAAGCTGGTTCTGTAATCAGCGGTAAATCTCCATCACGTGCGGGCTTTCACATTGAGCAGCATTAACTACACAGAGCCGTTGTTCACTGACGAGCTGCGCAAAAAAATCGCGTGAATATGAACGTTTTTTTGCGCAGCTCGTCAGTGAACAACGGCTCTGTGTAGTTAATGCTGCTCAATGTGAAAGCCCGCACGTGATGGAGATTTACCGCTGATTACAGAACCGGCTTTCTGACAAGATGCGCGTTATATATCGCATGCGATTTATCGTGCAGCCCTAATTATAATCATAATCCGTAAAGATGCACTTCTCTCTAAAGGCGCGTCTGAGGAGATGGCGAATCAGGATCGGCAAATTCATCCTTGCGACACAGACTCAGAAAACACTAGTTTATTATTAAATAACTATATTATCTCCTTACTCTTTCCCCCGTCACATTCATGGTAATTACTTTTGCCGGTGCTTTGCGGCAAGCTTTAGCCTATTGCTTGCATTTGAATGCAGAACTGTTCAGCTGCACTGACGGCACGCACCATACATACTGCTGCTGCGGGACACTAAACACCGTCGAGCCGCTCTTGACAGTCGCGGTAGCACGGTCTCGTGTTGTTTTCATCACTAATTGATGGATGTCTAAAATAAAAAAAAAATAAGGAGAAGCCTAAAACAGGCCCGAGGCCCGGCCTGTGTCTGAACTATGACGTGAAAATCGGCCCGAAGCCCGGCCCGAGGGGCGTAAAAAAAGTTTGAAATGCAGGGCTCAACCATTCTGTGCCTATACATGAGAGGAAATAACTGGCCAAGTCACATGATTAAAAAAAAACAATACAAGGCTTTCTAACAAGATATGGTTTCAAAACTGTTTGAATTCCAATAGTTCATGGCTAGAGAGTGGTGATCTGGTCACGTCATGAACCAGAGTTTAACACATGGTTTTAACTGGGTCAGCTTTATCATGTAGGTTCAGTTAATTAATTTTAATAAACATGCATGTATAACAAAATAGGACAGTGAAAGTTAATTGTTTTTAACCTTACATTTTTTGGTATTTAATGATGTTTAGAATATGCTTTCATGAAAACATTTGTAATTGGTTAGTAAAAGGTGTTTTTACTCATG